GTCCTCCCACAGCACAGGGCCATGAGGAGGAAGGGGGACACGGGCCAACACTGGGGACCAGGAAACCTCGACAGGAGACAGGAGGCTTTGCCAGACCCAGCAGCTGCCCCCGTCCTATCTCTGCCCCCTCTAGGGGATGATGCTGATCTCAGCCCAGGACGAGAAAGGGGGTGAGCAATGGCCACGGTGTGAGACCTCACGCAGCTTCTCTCAAACCCCCAGAGATGCCTGACCTGGCTCATGCTTCTCTCCTGGTGCTGGGTGGGGTCCAGGCCTCCCCACTGCCCCTCCCCAGCCGCTCCTTAATGTAACCGTCCATGGAGAAAGTGAAGGAGCAACCCACGCTGAGGCCTGTCCACTCTGGGAGACACCAAGGTCATGGTGAAGACTCCTGGGGACTTATTTATAGTTAATGACACATAAATATTTCTCATATTTGGGGCACACAATTTGTCGTGTTGGGATATGACTACACTGTGACATGAGCTCCACACTGACCTCATGGACACACCCAGCTGCCCCACAGCTACCGTTCTCCCTTGTTCCTTCTCATGGTGAGAGCACTACAGATCCACCCTCTGCAAATCTCAACTGCACGACACGGCTGTGTGCACTACAGTCCCCAGGGCTGAGGTGGGGACACAGGAGATGACACACAGGGTTCCCAGTGTGGTTCTGCAGGACACAGGACTTCTGGAGGTCAGCACGTGCCTTGGTGACCACAGCTCACAGGGCCTTCAGGTTCCCCTTGGTTCTCGAGGCGTGTCTTTGTCAGGGCGGGGGTGGACACCAGGACCTCGACACGGGGAGCCGTCACCCAGCCCCACCCAGTGGGACAGCAGCTGGTCTCTGCTCTTCACACTGTATCTGCTGAGGGTTTGCTTGTTGTTGAGGCAGGACTCTTGTGCTGCCCACACTGGCCTCCTGGACTCAAGACATCCCTGGGCTCCTGAACCTCGGAGTAGCTGGGACCTCAGGAGCCCAAAGCCTCACTAGGCCCCACAGGGCTTTGAAGGGGGAGCTTCTCCCTCTCTGTGCTGTCCACGTCCTCCTCTGAGATAATGGACTGTGGGAGGAGTCGGCCACTGGGCACCAGGAGCAGCAGGTTTGGTGGGAGGTGTAGTGCCCTCCACCCCTGTCACAAGGGCCCCACCCAGGACCATGCCTGCGCCCATGGCCTTCTGCAGAGGGCTCATCCCTCCAGGCTTAGGGAGCCCTCAGCACTGAGCAGAGTTCGACTTCCGCAGCATCTCCAGAAAGAAACAGGGGACACACCACCATGAAGCACCTGTGATACAGAGAGAAATGGTTCAGAGCTGATGCAGACAAATAGGTACCATGGTCTCTGAGCTCTAGATGCACCTGAGTCTCTCTCAAAGATGACCCAGCAATTCAGCATCAAAACCTGAAAAGTGCTGTGAGTTAGAAGAGGATGTTTTACTCGTTTCGATTATAGTAGGAGACAGAGGAGATAGAAGGAAACAGTGAATCCTTAAAAGGTATTACAGAGACAGCCCAGCACAGGGGCCCAGGGCTGTAACTCCAGTGACTCTGGAGGCCAAGGCAGGAGGATGGCAAGTTCAAGGCCACCTGGGGAACTTAGGAACCTCATGACTCAACATAAAAAGTAAACAGGACTGGACAGAACGTAGCTCATGGGACAGGCCTGCAGAGCACCCCTAGGGCCTGGGTCCACTTTCAGGGCCACAAAGGAATCAGAATAAACAAACAAAAGATATCAAAGGAATGAGAGGACATGAAGGTAAAGAAGGCAGAGTCACTTGAACAGGGACGTGCTCCCAGATTATGGGAAAGGGAAGGACCTGTGACAGTGAACGCCCAGGATGCAAAGCAGGTCAAGGACCCCCACCTCTGCTGACCTGGACACCTTGTGGGACACGACAGGAGCAGGAGCACAGAGCACCCAGGGACCTGTTCATGCTCCATAGGAGCACCCTCGTCACCTTGGGCTGTGGCAGGGAATCCATTGATCCCACAGACCAAGAGAGGTGCTGAGACATATTGAAATGTCTCCTTGGACGTAAGTGGCCACGTGGAGCCTGCAGTGTGCACACAGGGGCAGGCAGCAGGAGGTGGAGCGGGGCCTTGCAGGGCTGTGGTTGCACCCAGGCCTCATCTGCAGCTGCCCACCCCCGGCCCTTGCTGGGGAGAGGAGCTGGTCACCTTGCTGTGGGGAGGAGGCAGCAACCCTGCAGGGTGTGAAGGTCCTGTGACCACATCCTGCTCATGGCTCATCTCCTGCATCCTGGCCCCAGTGTGGCCCCAATTCACCCACCTCCTGTCCCTGCTGTGCCCTGGGGGGGGAGGCAGCAGAGGACATGGTGGAAAGTCCCCCCTGAAGACATTGGGCCTCCAGAGCCCAGGCCAGAGGAGGGAGCCCTGGGAAGCTGAGGTCATGCCCTGAGGAGCCCAGGGTGACCTGCCACGGCCAACACTAGGGACAGGCAGAGCCCTGGGAGGGCAGAGTCCACATGGTCACCTCTGTGTGGTTGTCCCACAAGTGCTCCATCTAAGCCACCTGATGTAGGGACACATGAGGATCCTCCCAGTCGCAGATTGTGGTTTTGGCAAAACAAGAGGGTTTCTCCCAGGTAGGAGGTGTGGGGTGCTCTGGGTCCTCTGGTAGCAAAGGAAAAGGACACTGGACACTGATGCTCCCACTCTCCTCTTAGACCTGCCTGGACACCTCCTTGGCCTCAGCCAGATCTGCAAAAGTCTGAGGTGTTCACGTTCTGGGGTCTCCAGGGTGGGCTGGTCACCTGGTGAGCAGGGAGGCTCCAGTGCTGGACACAGGGACCCCTGGGGACCAGGCATTGCCCGAGGGTCTCCACCTGACAGGGGGCTGAGCTAAGAGTGCCCCTGGTGCAGTCAGAGGGACTGGCCAGCAGCAAGTGACCTCCAGACCTTGCAGAACTTTCTAATGAAGAAGAATTTTAAATGGGCTTCAATTTTGTCTTGTTTTGCTTGATCTGGGGATGTCACTCTAGGGCTTTTGCTGGTTCCTGGTCTTCTATCAGAATTCACAGGCTCTGACCCTGCACCGTCCACGCCAGCCTCAGGGTGTCCTGGGGGAGCTACTCCAAGGAGGTGGGGCCTCCTCCTGAGCTCCGGAGGGGACCTTTCCCAACAGCTCCCATGAGCCTGTCACCTGGCCCTTGGGCACCTGCAGTGAGTGGTTCCTCACCAGGACTCACCCTCGCAGAGCTCCTCACACAGAGAACCCTGGAGCTCTTCCCAGGGCAGCAGCAAAGAGCACTTGGAGTGTGGGTGGACCTGGGCTAGACGTCCACGTCCCTTCCTGGCTCCCTGATTGCACAGAGGTGCCCACTGCTCCTGGACCTGGGGGTGCATCTTGGAATAGAGAGAATGGCCGGGGGGGTGAGGGCTGGGGACTCAGGAGCCAGCACACGCTGCAGGCCACTGTGGTCCCCTCACACAGCCACCAGCACAGGTGCTCAGGGGTGTGCTGTGACAGAAGCACCAGGTCCTCCAGGATGGCCCCCAAGCTGACTCCCTCAGTGGACGTGGGGTAGCTGGTCTCCCTGGCACTGTCCTCTGTGCTAACTGTCACTGGTGTTCCATCAAACCCAGGTCCAAAGGGGCCAGGACGGGGTCATGAGAGCTAATGGGTGAATGGTGCAGAGGTGAGGTCCACTTCCCCAGGCTGACCTGTGGGGTGTTGAGGACCATGGTGGACACCAGGACCCCTGGACTTCTCTTAACTGGCTGCCCACCCTAATGCTCCTCAGGCCCAGGGTTGCTGACCTGCAAAAGGAGATGGTCTATGGGCAATGTGGCAGGATGGGGCATGGATTAGAGGGGACAATGGGGAGGTGGAGGTTGGCCTGAGGGATGTGGGGTAAGTTGTCAGGATCTGGGGGGGGGAGGGCTGAGCAACCTCAGGCACACCCCTGCCCCATTCTGGTCCTGATGGAGGACCAGGAGAACATGCTAAGGGCCTGGCTCCCCCTTCACCCCACACATCTGCCTTGAAGACCCAGAGGCCAGGGAGGACCCCGTGAAGGACAGGAGGTGACATCTGCAGCCCTCACCTCAGCTGCCACCCTAGTCCTGTGGCCTCCTTCCCCTGTGCAGTCTCACCTCAGCCGTCCCCTCCCTGCTGTGCGGACCCTGCAGCCAGGACACACAGGAAGTGATGAGCCAGGTAGAGCTCCCGAGGCCCCACAGGAGGGTCCCCCCCACCTGGCACAGTGTGGAGCATCCAGTTTAGGCTGAAGAGCATTTTCCTACAAGGAAGCCAGGCTCAGGGGTGGTGACGCCCACCTCAGCTCTCAGCCAGGCCGCTCTGTTGATGGTGGGACAGGCTGGAGCATGGACCCCAGAGCAGATGGGACGCCTCTTCCCCCACACCCCAGAACAGACCATTTCACATGCAGCACTGAGACCTGGTGCAGGGAGGAGGGCTCGCTCCTTTCAGCTGCTGTGTCAGTCAGCTCTGCGCTACTGCAACAAAACACCAGAGACCATCAACTTAAATAGACCAGAGCTGCTGAGGGAGGGGTGTGCTCCTGCACAGGCTGCGCCATGGTGGGCTGCACTGGGAAAGAGCCCTGAGCTCCTTCAGCTGGTCCAGCTCCCAGATGACAGGGTGCAGGCCTCCACCATGCTGGACCTCTGGAGCCTGGCACCCACCTGCCCAGTAGCTGGTCATGTTTCACCTGGTCTAGCAGTGACCCCCACATTCCCTTCCTGGATCCTCTGAGGACTTAATAATGGGTTGGAGTCAGCCTATGTGGGGCCGACTCTGGTGGGGCCTGGGCCCTGACCTGGCCGGGCAGCATTCATGTCAGTACAGAAGGGCCTCAGGTTCAGGGGGGACCTCAGATCTGTGCTGAGATGTTCCCAAGGGGCGGAAAGCCCTCAACCCTGCCTTTAGGAAACCAGAGATGGGCCAAGAGGGGCCGTCCCCATCTGGTGGGAGCACACCTATGGGGACCAGAGGTCAGCAGCAGCCCCTGCTTACCACTTCCGTGCTGTCTGACCTGCAGGGCCTGCACTCTCCTCTCTGGACGCTGGAGTCTTCAGAGCAGGCGGCATGAGGTCCACCCTGCCTGTCCTCCTGTGCCTCGGTCAGTGTTGGTGGAGGGAGGGACACAGGCTGGGTGGGGAGGGTCCCAGGTGCCTGTTCACAGAGAGCCCTCAGGTCTTAGTCTCATATGGTACCAAATGGCTGCTGTGAGCACAAGGAACAATAATCCTCCCCAACACTGAGATGCCAGCTCCTCACGGGGACCTCTCTTCCAGGGCTGAGTCTGCAACAGAGCCCCCGGGGGTCTTCAGGTGAGTGCCCTGCTAGCCGCCCACGTCCTGCCCAGGCTCAAACCCTGGGGTCTCAGGAGAGAAGAGAGCAGCCTGGGCGGAGGGTGGTGACAAGGTAGGGCAGTGGGACCTGGGGTAGGGACAGGCCAGGACCCAGCCTCTGGTTTTCTTGCAGGGACCCTCCCTAAGCCCATTCTGTGGGCAGAACCAGGCCCTGTCATTCCCCGTGGAAGGTCAGTGACCCTCTGGTGTCAGGGATCACTGGACGCCCAAGAGTACTGTCTCATTATGGAAAGGACGTGGAGCCCCACATGCAGAAGACCCTTACAGGGTCCAGGGAACAGGGCCATGTTCCCCATCCCCACCATGACTGCGCAGGATGCAGGAGGGTATCAATGCTACTATCAGAGCCCTGCTGGCTCACTACAACGCAGTGAACGCCTAGAGCTGGTGGTGACAGGTGAGTGGACACTCAGGGGTCCGGCCCCTGCTCTGCCTAAGGAAAGGGGTCTGCTCCCAGGGTGTCCGTCTCACAGCCCATTAATGGGGGAGGAGGGAGCCATGAACACCTGCCTCGTTCTCTCCTAGGATTCTACAGCAAACCCAGCCTCTCAGCCCTGCCCAGCCCTGTGGTGACCTCAGGAGGGAAGGTGACCCTCCAGTGTGGCTCATGGAAGGAGTTTGACGGCTTCATTTTGACGAAGGAAGGAGAACACCACCTCACCTGGACCCTGGACGCACAGCAAAAACCCAGTGGGCAGTTCCAGGCCCAGTTTCCATTGGGGCCTGTTAACCTCACCGACAGGTGGACATTCGCATGTTATGGCTATGATAGGAGCAAACCCCAGGTGTGGTCAATTCCCAGTGACCCCCTGGACCTCCTGGTCTCAGGTAAGGAATTCCCATCTTTCATTCCAATATTTGGTGAGGCTGCGACCTTGTGGGCAGAGACATTGTGTGAGAGGGTGACCTGCAGGCAGGACGGGGTAGGCAGGGGGTTGGCAGGGTCCAGCCCTCAGCCCAGGCTCCTCTTCCTCCAGGGGTGTCCAGGAAGCCCTCCCTTCTGTCCAGCATTGCCCTGTCCTGCCCCTGGAGAGAACCTGGCCCTCAGTGTCACACTGACATTGGCTATGACCGATATGCTCTGTCCAACAAGGGGCACAGGACCTCCCCCAGCGCCCTGCCCAGCAGCCCCAGGCTGGGCTCTCTCAGGCCGACTTCCTGCTGGGCCCTGTGAGCAGCCCACACAGGGGTTGTTTCAGATGCTATGGTGGACACAGCCTCTCCTCTGAGTGGTCAGCCCCCAATGACCCCCTTAACATTGTGGTCACATGTGAGGATCCCAGAAGGTGCTGTTAGGGACCCAGCCTCTGCACAGCCCTGTTGGGGAGCCCCAGGAGGTGATGGCCAGGGTGAGGTGGGGTCTCAGGAGGGAGAGAGACAGGGAGGGGCAGAGAGGACAGAGACAGGGGGACACAGGGACAGGAAGAATCAGAGACAATGAGACAGACAGAGAGCACAGGGTCCTCAGAGAGAGGCCCTGGGGAGGTCTCAGCTCAGAACAAGCTGGGGCCACCCTCACCCTCCTTCCTTTCTCTGGGACAGCACCCTGTCACACCCTCCCTCTCAGTGCAGCCTGGTCCCACAGTGTCCTCAGGGGAGAACGTGACCCTGCTCTGTCAGTCACGTGTCAAGATGGACACTTTCCTCCTGTGCAAGGAGGGGGCAGCTGATCCCCCCCTGCGTCTGAGAGCAGAGTACCGAGCCCCACGGTACCAGGCAGAGTTCTCCATGAGAGCTGTGACCCCAGCCCTCGGGGGGACCTACAGGTGCTATGGCTCTCGCAGCTCATCCCCCTACCTGCTGTCACGGCCCAGTGCCCCCCTGGACCTGGTGATCTCATGGGAGTGACCTGAACCCATCCTCTGTGACCTCAAGGATTCCCTCAGGGCCCTGCCCAGGACAGCTCTGGGTGGGATGGGAGTGAGGGGCCCTAGGAAGGGTCGGCCAGTGGGACTCACCCCTCAGAGAGGAGGGGCCAACGGGGTCCTCCAGCCTGTGCACCCACCCACCACTGGAATCAGGAAGGTGCAGGTGGGCACAGGAGGGTCCTGGGGAGGCCAGGCAGGTGTAGGAGGATGGGCAGAGACAGTCCCCAGGGGCAGCCTGCACCCCTCACCCTCCTGTTCTCCTCATTCCCAGGACCCTCTGGGGGACCCAGCCCCCCACCCTCAGGACCCAGGTCACCAGCTGGTGAGTCTCAGGGGCCTCTGTGCAGACAGTGTCCTGCATTCTTGGGCAACCAAGAATCACTCTGAGCTGCAAAGTCCAGTTACAAACTTAGCCAAGCTGTGTCCAGGGCACTGCAGAGAATGGTCAGGGACCCCAGGCCCTGGGGCTCAGGGCTGGGAGGTGTGAGGGGGAGGTCCAGGCAGAGGAGACTCTGGGCCCAGCCTGGGGAGGAGCAGCCAGCTGAAGTGGGGGGCAGGCAGCCCAGCCCTCACCTCCCACCCACCCCAGGAGGCCCTGAGGACCAGCCCCTCACCCCCACGGACCCAGGACCCCAGAGTGGTGAGTGAGGGGCTCTGGTGGGAGGTGGGGTCCAGGGCAGGGGCTGAGCTGAGGGGGAGCAGCCCCCTCTGGAGATGCTGACGGGGACCAGCCCCTCCCCTCTGGGCCTCAGTTTCTCCCAGGGCAGAGGAGAGGCCTGGCCCTGACCTTCAAGTGCCTCTCAGGGCTGACCTTGGCTGTGCCCTGCTGGGAGAGGGGCCTCCAGGGAAGCCTCCAGGACCTGAATCTGCAGGGCTCTGTCCCCTCTGTGCAGTGACAGTGACTGAGCAGGGGAGGGGCTCAGGGCCATCGGGGTGTTGGGCTCTTTCCCTCCAGCTCAGGGCTGAGCTCTGGTGGAGAGAAGGAGACTGGGAGTCAGACTCCCCCAGTTCAGGCCCCGCTCTGCTGCTTCCTGCTGGGTGATTGGGCAGGGGACCCCCCTCTGAGCCTCAGGTTCCTCATCTGTGCCTGGGGAGTGGGTGGCAGGGCCATGGTGCCTGAGTGACAGGGCTGGAGGTGACAGGTGGAAAGACCAGCAGGGTGGCACACAGTAGGTGCTCAGGTAAGCAGCGTGGCTCCTCGTCCACACCTGTGCCCAGGACTGGGAAGGAGTCTGAAGATTCTGGTGGGGGTCTCGGTTCCCCTCCTCCTGCTGCTCCTCTTCCTCCTCCTGGGACACCAGTGTCGGGGACAATGCAGGAAGGCAGGTGAGTGGGGAGGGGGAGACGTGGTGGCGTCCCAGGGGAATTAGCCAGTTTTGCTCAGGGCACACAGATGGGAAGCCCTGGTTGTCACCCTGAGCAGCAGGACCACCCAGGAGGCCCAGCAAGAGCCCGTGGTGGCCTCACAGGTCTGCCTTCTTCTCGTCACACAGGGCTCAGCACTGCTGTCACCTCCCCAGAGGCCACCCAAGGCCACCAGGTGACCCGTCCTCTCCCCCGCCCTCCTCTCTGTGCCCGCTGCCCTCCTCTCTCCTCCCAGCTGATTGTGCTGATGGGCTCTGGTCGGCCTCCTGCCCTGAGGCCTGGGCGCTGGCCTCTCTCCTCTGCCTCCTCCCCTGCTGAGCTCACTGCCCCTGCTCCTGAGTAGGAGGTGGACCTGGCCACAGCCCTGCCCTGCACTGGCCCCTCCCAGCCACACAGATGGCCGACTCCTGGGGGTTTGCTGTTGGCAAGGCTCTACTGGGGGCTGGGGACAGCAGCAGCAAACACAGTCTGGTGCTCAGACACAGGACAGCCCCGGGACAGACAGACGGGGCAGAGGCAGAAAGGCGTGGGGAGACCGGGCAGGGAGAGGGCTGTGAACCCAGGACAGAGCCAGGTGGGCGGAGGGCCATGGGCAGGAGCAGGAGGGGTAACTGGACAGTCAAGGAGGGTTCCCTGGGGAGGACCCTGGCCAGAGCCCTCACCACAGGGACAGGCCTGAGAGCATCTCAGGAAGAGGGTCCTGCCAAGGGAGCAGCAGTGTGAGGCCAGTGGGCACAGGCTGACCTGTCCAGCAGGCACGAGTCCAGGTGGCTGCAGGCGATGCAGGAGGAGCAGCTGTGACAGGTGGCAGGACAGAGGTGGGCAGGGGTTAGTCCTGCAGGTGCCTCTGCTCTGGCAGAGCCTGAGAAGCCCCTGGAAGTTCTGCTGGGCGTGGAGAGCTGACTGCTGGCTGCAGGTCCCTCCAGCTCCCTGTGGGAGGTGAGGGGCACAGCCAGAGTGGACTCAGGAATCACCTGCCTCTGTCCTCTCCATAGAGCCCTGCAGATGAAGACCCCTGGGCTGTCACCTGTGCCCAGAATCAGGGCCATTGTGGAGTGTCCACTTATCCCCTGAGTCACGGCCATTCCTGGTCATGAAGGACACATTAGAGGGAGAGGACAGCCTGAAGGGTGTCATGTGGGTCCTGTCCCCTCCAGGGCCCAGGCTCCCCAGACACCAGCCTCACCTGTCACCACTCTGCCCTCACTCCAGGTGGCTGCATCTGGTGCCCCCCAGAATGTGACCTACGCCCAGCTGAATTACCTCAAGCTCAAGGAGACAGCCAGTCCTCCTTCCTCTCAGGGACAGGAGCCTCCCACTGCGCCCAGTGTCTACACCACCCTGGCCTTCCACTAGCCCAGGACACCACTCAGATCCCACGCTGCAAGGACAGGGACACGGGGACCCCAGCAGGCACAAGACAGCCCATGGACATGCAGCTAGGTGTCACGGCCAGCTTGGGGCCTGACATGCATGGCCAGGAGCATCTGCGACCTGCTGGACGTCACCTGATTCCCAGTCACAATAACTGGTCCCCAACCACGTGCCACGTTTGGCCATTTTATTCTCCTAGTCACCAACAGGCAAGGGGAGAGGAGTCACAAGGCAAGTGAGCAAATGTGTGATGGGAAAGTGCATCCCGCTGATGACGCACAGAAACGAAGTGACTTTGATCAAAGGAAACTTACAATAAAGTTCAAAATGTGCTGGGGTGACCCTGGGGAGCCCCATGTCACCTGCCTTCCTGCTGATTTTCACACCCGGCTGGGACCCCTCTGTGCAGCAGCATGACCTGGGCTGAGTGGCAGCCTGCAGGGGTCCCCTGCCCACCTCAGGGAAGGGTCTGTGGAAAGGGGAGCGCAGACCTGGAGCCACCCAGGAGCCCAGTGGGAGCAGAGCTGGGGACCTAGAGACAGAGGACCAGAGGGAGGGACAGGGAGGGCAGGGGTGGGCGAGGGGCACCCACACCCAGGGGCATGGAGACCTGGAGGGGAAAGACAGACGGCAGGGGGTCCTCACTCACCCAGCTCCCAGGGACGGAGGGGGGGTCCCCAGCTCACACCTCCTTGTCCTCAGGGTCCTCAGAGAACCCCCCTCCAGGTGCTCCCACTGCCCTGTCCTCCTCCTCCTCCTCCTCCTCCTCCTCCTCCTATTCCTCCTCTTTTCCTCTCAGTCTTCACCTTCTCCTCCTCTCCCTCTCTGTCCTTCCTCCTCCTCCTCCTCATCCTTTTTTTAGGATCCTTCCTTCCTCCTTCCTTCCCCTCCTCCTTCTAACCTCCCTTCCCCTCCTCCATTTCCTCCTCTTTTACTTCTTCTCCTGGTTCCCTCCCCTCCGGGTCCCTCTCCTCCCCTTACCTCCCTCCTACTTTTCCTACTCTCCCTCCTCCTCTTCTCTCTCCTCCTCCTTCCTCCCCTCCTCCTCCTGCACCTCCTCCCTGTCTCTAGGGCCCTCCTCCTTCCTTCTCCTCCTCTTTTCCTCTTCCCCTCCTTCCCTCCTCCCTCTCCTCTTCCTCCTCCTCCTTCCTCCCCTCCCTCCTCCATTGCCTCCTTCCCCTTATTCTCTGTCCCTCCTCCTTCCCTCCTCCCCCTGCCCTCCTCCTCCCCTTAACTCCCCTCCCCCTCCCCTTCCCTTCCTCTCCCCCTCCCCTCCTCCTCCTCCCTGCCACTACTGTGTACTATAATCATTATTCCTCTTCCCCTTCTTCTTTACCTTCTCTTGACTTAGTGACGATTCCCTTTATTCTCTAACTTTTCTTTTCTTTTTAATTTTTATTATTAGTTGTTCAAAACATGACAAAGCTCTTGACATATCATATTTCATACATTAGATTCCAGTGGGTTATGAACTCCCATTTTTACCCCGAATACACATTGCACAATCACATTGGTTACACATCCACGTTTTTACATACTGCCATACTAGTGTCTGTGGTATTCTCCTGCCCTTCCTATCCTCTACTATCCCCCCTCCCCTCCCCTCCCCTCCCCTCCCCTCCCATCTTCTCTCTCTACCCCATCTACTGCAATTTATTTTCCCCCTTGTTTTTTTCCCCTTTCCCCTCACTTTCTCTTATATGTAAATTTGTATAACAATGAGGATCTCTAAATTTCCTACTGGTCTTTCTGATACTACATTTTTACTTACTAGGTCCATGAATTAAGTGCCTAAAATCACCCAAACTTAATTTTTCATTTATTAAGAAATAAATGTAGGGATCCTACAAGAAAACCTCACAGTTGGAGTCCTTAGAACACAAAGCCATACACCCCTGTGTCCTAACCTCCCAGGCTTATTTCTCTTGATGTACCACATTCACACTTAGCAGGAATCATTTTCAAACAGCAGATATAAAGAATGTTCTAAGTCTGTTTGACTCTTATATTTTCCCGGGTTCAGTCTTGGTCTCAGCCCAGGATCAAGAAACTCTCTTCCCCTGTCCCAGGCCCCAGCCTCCTTCTTGGTGGTCGGCCTGTTACACCTCTTAGTCTCCAGAATGAGCATACACAGCCTGTTCTTAAGACTAAAGTCAAGAATGTCAGCACCTGTCATGGTTTACATGTGACTTGTCCCCAGAAGCTCACGTAGGACACAATGCAATAGCTTTCAGAGGTGACATGATCAGGGGAGGAGTCCTGTGGCACCTGGTAACTTGATCCCAGGCTTAATGCCCTGACTGGTAACTGGGCAATAACTGTGGGCAGGTTGGCACAGCTGGAGGAGGGGTCCCTGGGGCTGTCCTGTGGGTTTCTGTCTGGTCCCTGGTGGGCAGACGCTGTGTCTGCTGCTTTGTTGCTGCGTCCTGAGCTGCCTTCCTGCCCCAGGCCCTTCTGCCATGATGCCCTCCTCCTCTGGGGCCTAGAGCAGTGGGGTTGGCCACTGGGAACTGAGGCCTCGGACACTGTGAGCCAAATAGTCTTCTCCTCCTCTAATTGTTCATGTCAGGTCTTTGTTACAGTGATGCAAAAGGTGACTTAAACAGCCACCTTAAAAACAGAGAGACAGACAGGGAGGAGAGAGGGAGGGAGAGGGAGAGAGAGAGGGAGGGAGAGAGGGAGGGAGAGTTTGAGAGTGGGAGGGGGAGAGAGAGAGAGAGGGAGAGAGCAAGAGGGAGAGAGAAAATGAGAGGGAGGGAGACAGAGAGAGAGGGAGAAGGAGGGAGGGGAGGGAGGGAGACAGAGGAAGAAATGATTCTTCTGACCCATCAGACAATGTCAGAGGAATCTGAGTTACCAGATGTTTCCTCCTGGGTCTTGGTTAGCCCTTTGCAATTCCAATGCCCAGGAGACTCTGTGGTGGTCAAGGACTGGTCAGTAGAATCCTAGGGATGGAAGTGTTTCACGTTCATCTCGCCACAAACAATATGGAATTAAAATATTCGTCAGCCAATGTGTTAGAGTAATTTTTGTTAGTTGTTTATTTATGAAAATAGAAACAAGCTTACCTCCATGAAGTTCATACCATAGCTGAGCACCTGCTGTGACACACACACACACACACACACATTAAAGAAGAGTGATGAGAAGGTCATGGAGAGATCTACACAGGACAGTACTGTGAACACTCACAAAAGCTACTACTTTTCATTCCATGGCGTGTGCAGGACAGGGATCCTCAGTTCATTTCATTGGTGACATTTGCACGGCAGTTGTGTAGTGAGTGGGTGAACCGGCCAGGGACAGCATGGCCCTCAGCCCTTCCTGGAGGCCGTGCTTTGCCTGCACTTGAGGGTCCACTGGGGCCTGGACCATCTCTGACACGGGAGGGAGGGTGAGAAGTGCTGTGGGTCCTGAATGTGCGACCAACCTCCAGACGCACAGACAGCAAAGCCACAGCTCTGAGCTGGACAGTGGCCTGTGGAAATCCCTGCAGGCCCAGGCAACAGCAGGAAAGAAGTGGACAAATTGGGTTTCATGAAAACTTTCAGATTTTGTGCAGAGGAGACAACATCGTCACTGGGCACAGTGGCACACCCCTGTGGTCCCAGCTCCTTGGAGAGCGGAGGCTGGAGGATCACAGTTGGAGGCCAGCTGAGCACATTTGGGAGGTCCTGCCTCTCAATTTAGAAAGGGGCCTGGGGATGTAGCTCAGTGGTAGAGCACCCCTGGTTTCAATCCCCAGTACCCTCCCCACAAAGAGTACCACTAGAGTAAGGAAGACTCCCACAGAACTGGAGAAAATATTTGCAAATCATACAACCAATGAGGAATCAATCCCCCGAATACATGGATAACTCACAAAACTCAAACTAAAAAAGAAACAAACAAAGAGAATCCCAATGCAAACATGGCAAAAGAACAGAGCCGGGTGCACTGGAGCATGTCTGTAATCCCAGCAGCTCAGGAGGCTGAGGCAGGAGGATCACAACTTCAAGGCCAGCCTCAGAAACTTAGCAAGGCCCTAAGCAACATGGTGAGACTCTGTCTCAAAATAAGAAATAAAAAGCCTGAGGATGTGGCTCAGAGGTTAAGTGCCCCTGGGTTCAATCCCCAGTAACCTCCTGCTACAAAGAGGCAGCAAAGGACTTAAAAATGTCCTTTCTCCAAAGAAAATACACAAATGCCTAATAAACCCAAAGGAAAGATGCTCAACATCCCTCATTTTTACCAAAATTCACATCAAACCACAATGAGAGTCCCCTCCTACCCATGAGGGGAGCTACTGTCAAGGACAAGGGTCTCTAAACCCTAACAATGAACCGCCCAGAACCATCTCAAGGGAGCCCTCCACCTCAGATCACCTTGACGAGACCCAGCAGGGACCGACGTGGTCCAGAAGGTGGGAGGTGTGCACACTGTGCACTGCACAACTTGGTGAGAGCAACGGAGGGAGGAGCAGCTAGACGGAAAGACAGCCCTTGTTCATGGACTGTTGAAACGCCCAGAGTCTCTGCACACTCGCGGCCGTAGCTATCAGAATCCCAAAGGCATTTCTCACAGAAATAGGGAGGACCCTCCTAATGGTTCAGATGTAATCCCCAAAGACCTCGAACCAACGATCTGATGTAGTGATATGACAAACGATATCCCATTATGAAGTTCTTCTCTGAACCTGCTTGTGGCTTCAGGAGTGGAGGCTGAATCCTGTCCAACGCTTTTATGAGATGATATTGTTTAAGTGGGGCCTTTGTTATGTTGGCCAGGCTGCCCTGGGATTCCTGGGCTGAGGCTGTCCTCCTTCCTCAGCCTCCAGTGTGGCTGGGACTCTAAGCACATGTCACTGTGCCTGGAGCACAGAAATACTCCTATTGAAACTATATGTCACATATGGAATTTAGAGTGTTGCGATATTTCATTGTCATTGAACGATCATTTATGTTTTCTTCCATTTCATCTATCAGATTCTGATACCAGTTTGCAAATATCCATTTTATGTATCAATTCATGCGTACCTACTTCAAATACATGTGATATGGTGAGCTGAATATGGATCTCTTATAGGGAATCCCTCAATGCTGACTTTAGAGCTGTTTGTAGTGAACCATGACAAGGTGAAGAAAATTCTCATTGACCCTTGGTTGGGTCTCCTGCGATTCGGGCCTTTACAAGATGTCCATCACTTGGAGGCTTTGAATGCGCCCAGAGGTGCTGGGGCTCAGGAGCCATGGCCCTGGTTGCTGTGGACCTTCCCCAGCGGGTCCTCACGTGTCAGCCCTGGGAATGGGGCTGGTGCCCTGGGGCGGTGCCGTGTCTGCTGGTTGTCTCTGTTGTGTCCAGGAGCTCAGGATGGTGGTCTCTGGGCTGGACTGACTGCCCGGGTCACCACACCTGCCCCTTTGCAGAGAGGCCCAGAGCCTGATCTAAGCTGTCCACAAGCACAGGTCCTGTGGTGGGGTTCCCTGGGCAGAAGTGTCCCCGAGGCAGATCCTGGGGCACTGTCCCTGCTATCAGGAGAAAGACAGCTAATTGTCCTGTGGTCTGGATCCCACTGCCCAAGGT